TGTTCTTATGGATTAGTTGTGTAACTGATTGAGTAATTCAAGGTTGTGTATTAGCTGTGGAACTTAAAACTTGTTTGTTGCTTACCAACGTTAAGTAGTAGTTCAGTGTTATGTTTGTTAGAACATAAATGACACTCCACCGCGGCTTTTGCTTCCCTCTCGCCTCTATCATTTCCAGCAATCAGAAAATCCCATGTGGCATAAGACGAGTTCTTCCTCGAATTCGGTAGAGACATAAAGCTTGAGAACTCAGGCAACCTTTTCCAACTTCCAAGCAATGAATTAATCCACTAAAACCGATTTACTTTTATGTTTGTGAGCACATGGCCTTCGAGTGTCGGGCCTGTCCTCTGTCTTAAATATTAGCAAAAAAATAACCAAACATGAAAAGCCCTCTTTTTATGGCATTTAAAAATTCACAACCAAACACATGAGCAGCTTCCCGACAAGACAGAGGACATTAGTTAATTGTGGTCCACGTTACTACCATAGCTGACCTAACAAGGGGTATGTGTTTACACCAGAGAGAAGAAACCATGAGGTATTTCTCATTTTCTGACTTCCCACTTAACTACTGGTTAGACCCTTTAAGTTTTGATTTGAAAGAAAGGAACAAATGCCTGCAGAAACACCACATAATAGAATGGCGCACTTTGAAATAAGGGCTTTTCCCTGCCATGAAATCAACATAAGCAGGCCGGTTAGTAACAAAAACTGTTTGACCAAGTGCCAGGCTTAAACGACCAAGCTGCTCCCCACAACTTATTGATTAGTTGTGTAACTGATTGAATAATTTGGTAATATATATTTATTTTGAAGACATAATTTGGTAATATATGAATGAAGATTAGTGAGATTATTTTAGAATATGTCAAATATATACATAATTTATTTGATATTATAGGTTTTATGATAAACCTTACATGAATTTGATGAATTGGTTGAACACGATCCGACCATTAAAATTCAAATTACTTGTCAAACCAAATTGATAACTTAATTCAGTTTTTCAGTTTGACAACCTTGAATTGGTGATTGAGAAATCATGAGTGTTTTCTCATCACAGGATTACATTGACTTATATCACCCCTTATTATGTTTAAATGGCAATTAAAACACACTTATTTTATATTTTGAATTTTATTTTGTGAATTCAAATTACTACTTTTGTGAATACATACCTTAATTCTTATATAAAAAAATACATACCTGCGGCAGGACACAACTATATCATCGTTGTCTTGCTTTCTGTTGTTGACTTGTTGTTTTTGGTAGGGATGTTAGTTTAGTTCATTTTCATAAATTTAAAATCATCTGTAATATAAATGACAGGAGTTCGATGTTAAATCAATTACAAGTGGCATGTTAACATTCGACTAATATGTAAAATTCAGAAAGTTTAGATACTAAAAGCACTTAGCCCAACTTCTATCAATTTAATTAATATAAATAAATTAGCTTATAAATCACAACTACTCGTTAAATTTAATCAATGCGACACAGTTTTTAGTAGTAAATTGGTTAGGGCTTTTCGATAAGGGAAACATGCATTGATGTTTTTAATGGAAAAGTTAGGTTAACATACATAAGTTTGGATAAATACACTACCCAACTCATACCCAATTAAAATATGAAGACAATACGTATACCCTACACAAATTCATCCATAAGAACTCAATCAAACTAGTATATATTTCACTCACACCCTATCCCATAATCACATAGGTTTGTAAAATTACTCATTGGCAAGTAATTGTACCATCCCTAGTTGTCGGGCCATATCGTGGACTTGACTAGCGATATTGGTACTAGCGGCCAATGTCTGTCTATGACACCACTATTTAGGGGTGTACATGAGTCGGGTGGTCCGGGTTTAGCCATTTTAATCACCCGACCCATGCACTACGGTTTGGAAAATATTAAACCCAAACCCAACCAAAAAAATTAATACCCTACGGTTTATTTTCAATTGGGTTGGGTCGGGTTGGCGATATTTTTAAGTAAAAACACAACCCAACACAAAATATGTAATTATTCTACACCATAAAAATATTTTTATAACTAATTAAAATTTCAAACGAATAAACCGAGGTGAAAGGTATCGAAATTCACAAATGTTGTTTGAATTTTAATAAAATATCATTTACTTCAACATATGTCTATAGTTTTTTTTCACAATATTTGTTTAAATAGGCTAAATAGGTTATAAACAAACACATCCATAATATGTTATTCTATTAAAATTGTACACAAGAAAAAAGATACTTTGAATCATAGTTATATTAAATCTATGTCTAAATTTTAAACCGATGAATGCATTAGATTAGGAAAACCATGGGAGAAAAACATGGCAATATATCTTAATTTTCTTATAAGTATGGCTATATACGACATAAATATTTTTTGTACACGAACTCATACTAATAGTTGGAACACGGGTTGGGTCGGGTTCGACGAGTTGTGGAATCCAAAATTCAAACCCAACCCAAAAAAGACGGGTTGTACAAAAGAAAACCCTCACCCAACCCAAAACCTTAGTTTTAGCGATAAATACTTATGGGTTGGGTCGGGTTGGACGGGTGGGTCGGTTTGCGGGTGTATTTGTTCACCCCTACCACTATTGTGCTAGCTACATTTGATGGTGTTAGCGGGAACTATGAAACAAGACTATAATATCATTTTTGTTATGTGATGTGATAGTGACATTTGATTTAAGAATGATTCTGCAACTAATTAATAAAACAGAGATCTATTGCAAGAAAACGCTTAAAAAAATACTTAATGTTACTTCTTTTTGTTTTATAATGTTCATAGCTGCATTTCACATGAGATCAATCTGACACATTCTGCGTGCCAAGATTATACACATGCATATATATGTATGTACATCGACGAATTCATGACATAGTAAGACTCTAAACTGCATTTGAATAAAAATTTGAGACCAACTAACACTTAATTAAAAAACGAATACTACAAGCAAGCAGGTCTCATTTGCTATCCTAGCTCTGTACCTTGAACAGAGTGGCCCGGAAAGGTACCCACTGTATATACTATATGTATGTATCCAGTATCCGTATGATGTATGCTTGGTAGTTGGTAGGTAGCAACCAGTAGATAACTTCTTTAAAAAAAAAAAAGAGGGATGCAAATAAAAATAGAAGTGCACATATATGCATTATGTTGATGATGATGATGATGATGGGTATTACAGGCATGTCCATCCATCCATATAACCTTTTACCCTTTCAGCTAATTGTCCATCTCGTAGCCCATAGAAAAATAAATTGTTACTAATTTGTCATACATCGATGTCCTGTACCATACATCCCCATTTTCATAACCAAAGGAGTTAATGGCTTGCCAGAGACCAGAGTTATCGGGAAAGGAGGGGGCAAAAATAACACAAAAACTACTAGCGATTAACAGTGTCATAATAGTTTCTACCAAACCCTCCAATTGTGCGCTCCTTTGTGTTCACTTCTATGTAAAGGAGCCCATCATTAGTGCAAGCAAATTCTTTTTTCTTTTTTTTTAGATTGGTTACTCATGGTGACATATAGGGGTACGAGAACCGAAGGATATACTGTACCAAATTCAAAATTTTGTTCATAGGTCATATGCATCCCCGTTTTCGTGCTAAAGAAATTAATGGCTTACCCTTTTATGAAAACAGAGAACCAAGGTCTCCTTCTCTATGTCAAAGAGCGAGCCCCGATGTCGATCGTAAGAGGAGTCACTGTGTTGTTTCCTTTTCAGTCATGATATGGTGTAGTGGTTGTAATAAATATATCTTTGATTTGTTGCCTTTCTCTATAACTTTAGCTTGGTATTATGTGCAATGGAAACAAAGTTATGGGAATTTATAAATGCAGTAAATTTTTGGCAGGCGAAAGACATGGCATGGTAACATGCTTCATTAATGGGGAGAGGTACCGTATTTACCATTCAGCCCTGGTTTTGGGCAAAACTATTAACTAATGACTATATATAAATTCTCATTTTAGCCCCAAGAGCTTCAATTTTATGTATTCACATCCTCAAATTTTCTATAAATTCTCATTTTAGCCCCCAAGAGCTTCAATTTTAATTGGCCCCCTTACCTAAATTTCTGGTTCCATCCCTGGTGGGAAGCTGAGAAGAGCATGGTAAGATGCTTGGCGTTCATTATGGTGGTGATTCTATAGCCGGTGATGCTAATAGCCAGTCATGTATTCATTGTTATTTTAAATCGTTCCATTTAAGTTTCGTGGTTTAAGACCTATTTTTAATGCTCAACTTCCAAATGTGCACTTTCTATATCAACTTTGAAGCCCTTTAACAGAATTGGGCTACTAGGAATAGGAAGAGATGAGGAGGAGCGGGCCTGTAAGAGCGAAGCGAGACTTAAGGGTAGTAAAATACGGAGGGAAAGAAAACCTTGCAATCATGAATCTTTCTTAGTCTTTAGGTGGCCTTCTTTAGCTTTGTTGTTTAGTGTTATCACGTGCTTCACTCTGCCTATCCTATAGGATGCATGTTTGCTTTTAGTTTATCCAATTTAGGGGTTTGGCCACATTATGAGAATGCATCCATAAATTCAGCATCTGACGTTCACTTTGACACACATCAATTCATCATCTGGACTTACGGATAGTAGTAACAATACGGATTCCCTACGTATAGTAGTTAATTATTAATTACATATTGTAAATACTTGCAAATATTGTTGCGTTGGGATTCAACGAAAAAAAGTTTCCTTAATGAAATATTATGCATCCCAATGCGCATGGAAGGGACACTTTAATTTGAATAAGTAGGGAAATTAGGAACTCAAAGTTAGAAATGGTCTTTGTCGGATTTGGCAGCGCCAAGTTTGAGCTTAAAATCAAATGGTTCACTCGGTCATTGGCTGCCTGTTTATTTTTTACTGGGCTGAAAGAGAAATGACGTGCGGAAGGAAGGAAGTCACTTTGGAAATATTAATCCAGGTCTGGGTTTTTTCATACGATTGCACGTGGTCTGAAACGCGTTTTTTTTTAATGAATTGAATTAGTAGCGGATGAATTAACTTGGAAGTGCATTAATGTGGTGGTTGGCCGGGGTAATATAAAAGAGGGGTTTGGTGGGAAGGTCCAGCCTGCACTTCTCCATTCCATAACCAAAAGAAAGTAGTGGCAAAACAATCAGTTGAAGAAAATATGGAGCGACTGACGGTGGCATTTCTGACGCTCATGCTGATGATTGTTGGTCAAGGAGTCGGAGGTGATGTTTCTGGTGAAAAGGAGAAGGATAGGATCACAGATCTCCCTGGGCTGCCGGATGGTACCCGTCTAGGATTTCAGCAATACGCCGGTTATGTGAGTCTATTCCGAGGGAACCAGGTCTTCTACTATCTGGTGGAGTACGATGGGAGTTCATCCTCGCCGGCCGAAGAAACTCCCCTCATAATGTGGTTTTCGGGATGCGGTTCTTGGACTTGTCGGTTATCATTCCCTTCACACTGGCGAACTCAGCAAAGCCCTTGAGATACGTATCCGGGTCAATTAGCGGGTTTCCTCGCTGTCAAAAGCAAAAGAAGAATTACAAGGGAAAAAAATCAATGTCAGTCAGCTGACCAATTGACATAAAACCGGATTTGGTACTCTTACCAGTAGTCCTTGAAGTCTGAGGCCTGCAATTGGGCGAAGAACGCCAGGCACCAGTTTGATGGCCAGGTGAGCTGCGAGGTAAAGCTTCCTCCCTTTGTACTCCGGGAAACGACTAGTCCATTGCTGTAGAAACCCATCGGCATCCCATGCCACATCTTCCTTGTGCCTGGCGCTGGAGTTGCGAGCAGTGGAGAAGCCAACTCCGCCAGGGAAATCCACGAACAGCAGATTAGCAACTGGATTAATTATAAAATAAAACACATGTGTTACTTCCAACAAATTATAATAATTACTGTTACATAATTAAACGGGCATAAAAAGTTTCCCACTTACCCTTGACCCTTGTTAAGAGCCCATGGGTTGAGCTTGAGGCTGCCGTCTCGCTGGACTCGGAGAGGCCCTGCGTCCAGCATCCCACCGCTGCCCACCGACGAACAAACTCTTCCTAAAAATTAAATATAAACAGTGCTTAAGGATCAATACATAAGAAGGAGATGGGAATACATAATAGTGACTGGGTTGTAATATATGGAGTAATACCTGCCGAAAACCACATTATGAGCGGAGTTTCTTCGGCCGGCGAGGATGAACTCCCATCGTACTCCACCAGATAGTAGAAGATCTGGTTCCCTCCAAATAGACTCACATAACCGGCGTATTGCTGAAATCCTAGACGGGTACCAGCCGGCAGCCCAGGGAGATCTGTGATCCTATCCTTCTCCTTTTCACCAGAAACATCACCTCCGACTCCTTCACCACCAATCATCAGCATGACCATCAGAAATGCCACCGCCAGTCGTTCCATCTTTTCTTCTACTGATTCTTTAGCCACTGCTTTAATTTCTTTTGGTTATGGAATGGAGGAGTGCAGGCTTTACCTTCCCACCAAACCACCTCTTTTATATTACCCCTGCCAACCACCACATTAATGAACTCCCAAGTTAAAAGCTCAAACTTGGCGCTCCCAAATCTGACAAAGACCATTTGTAACTTTCAGTTCCTAATTTCCCTTCTTATTCAAATTAAAGTGTCCCTTCCATGCAGTGGGATGCATAATATTGCATTAAGGAAACTTTTTTTCGTTGAATCCCAACGCAACAATATTTGCAAGTATTTACTATATGTAATTAACTACGGTAAGTAGGGAATCCGTATTGTTACTACTATCCGTAAGTCCATATGATGAATTGATGTGTGTCAAAGTGAACGTCAAAAGTAAAAAAAAAGATAAACCATACACATGATTCAATCTTGGATGGTTTTATATAACTTGAGTATGACGTTGAAATTGTATGAAGTCTTGATTTTTACGGTTCACCAAAGCACCAAACCTATATACGGCTTTGACAAAACAAATATGAATCTCACGAGAGTGATTTATTAAACAGTTCATTATATGACACACAATCTTGGTTTGTCGACAAAATTTTCAGCATTTTCGTACATGCCGTAAACATATGCACATATACCCAGAAGACTGTTTTTCTTAGGTGCCTGTGTACCCAGAAGAATATTTTTCTCAAATTATAATTTAGTACAAATAATATATTATATCCAGATCCAATATATATCAGATCAATATTTGGTTAAACTATAATGCCATTCTGGCCCTAGCTATTGTATTTGTACCTCTATGTATCTTAGTATTAGTATTTTGGGCATTGAACCACTGAATCGTACGGGGTTTGCCTTGCAGGCTGCAGCCCAATCCTTTAGTATTCATTTTCTTTTATTAATATTTATTTTCTTCCTCCTTCCATTTATTACACTGTCCATGAAATTCTTTTATCATCTAAAGGGTGATGGAGTGGACAAAAGATCATTTGTAAAGTTGTACCAAGAGGCAAGAGTTGTTTGCCACAAACTCTATTTCTTGTTTTGTTTCGCTAAAATGATATGTGATTGGATTATATGTGCTTAAAATGCACGTAATAAGGAATGGTTGATGAGATAGGTTTATTGATTGATTAGATTGTACGAAATAATTGGTTGGGTTACTTTATAGGTTTGCATGAAAATATATAAAAATCTGAATACAAATTAATTTGCGTTAAAATTTGATCAATTTATGTGCACATATGTGCGGGACGTTGTTCCACGTTTTTTGTTACAACTTGTACCAAGTAACATCAAGCAAAAATAATCTTTGAGCTACCAATTCACTTTGTCCAAGGAATTAAATATTAACCTTTCCTCCTCAAAGAAAGTAGGAATTAAATATTAACCAATTACTAGTGTTGTTTCCTTTTGAGTCTCTTGATAAGGTTAAATGAAGCATGTTACCATGCCATTTCTTTTGCCTCCTAATGGCCAAAGATTTATTGCATTAATAGATATTAATAACTTTTGTTTCATTGCACCTAACAACAAACCAAAGGTATATTTATTATTGACAACTAGACCATATCAAGAGACTCAAAAGGAAACAACACTAGTAATTGCTCCTCTTATGATATATGGGGTACTTTTGACAGAGAAAAGTAGAAAGGAAAATTTGGTTCTGTTTTCATAAAACGGTGTCTGGTAAGCCATCAATTCCTTCTGCAAGAAAATGGGGTTGCATCATTGCATGTGTATATATAGGCCATCTATAGCACCGTCAACAATTTTTTGAAAGGGAAGAAAGTTTATGATTCTTCTCGGCATTTCCATAGACTTGCACTTCTCTTTACAACCCTCTTTCCTTTCCACAAGTTCTATACTTAATTGAATCATCGATCAAAGTGGCATCTTAACATTCGACTATTATGTAAAATTCAGAAAGTTTAGATACTAAAATCACTTAGCTCAAGTTCTATCAATTTAATTAATACGGTTAAATTAGCTTATAAATCACAACTACTCGGTTAAATTTAATCAATGTAACAAAGATTTTAGTGGTAAACTGGTTAGGGCTTTTCGATAAGGGAAACATGCATTGATGTTTTTAATGGAAAAGTTAGGTTAACATACGTAAGTTTGGGTACGTATGTTTGTTTCTGGGAAAAGAACCTTCACTTGCTGCAAGCTGATTATTTCAGCCGAGACATAACCATAAAAGTGACATAGTGGGTACTTTATAATATATATACATCCGAAGAAGAAATTGATATGATCGATCATGATCTGGGAAGGCAAACTGTCATAGTAAATGTTGCACATGGATTGATTGACGGATAGTGGGTACGTACTATAGCTCGGTAGGGATCAACAAGTAGAAACTAGGAAAGGCCCAAGAATAAACTTGAGTTGAAACTAGGAAAAGAAATGAACTGCAAGTAAAAGTGTAGTAGTCATTAATAGTTCCTACCAAACCAAGTATTCCTTTCTGTAAGTAGTGATGTTGATTTGTTGTTTCCGTTTGAGTAGGACTGAATATTGGTTTGGTTCAAATCGAATCGAAACACAAGCATATCAGGTTCCTAACATCATCAATAATGGAGACAAGATTGCAACCTAAATATAATTTCTTTCAATTAGTAAGAATTTAATTATAATTCAGTTTGATTTGGAATTTCAGATAAAATCGAATTTGTGAGTCTAGTTTGTGTTTTCTCTCTTTTAAATTATTTTCACCCCAATGTAAACAATAAATATGTGATTATATGCATCATCAATGATAAAATCAAACATTTCAACACATAAGTAATGAAACACCAACATGATTCAAATTAGAGTCTAAAGGAAAGTACAAACATAACAAAATCCACCTTTTGGAACGTACAATTATAGTTATTTGATTTTTAGTTCGAATTCAGAAATTCGATTCGATCGAAAGGACCCTGATTTTCGAAATAGACATCTATTCCTGCCAAAATTTTTAAAAAATAATATTAAATCGGTTTCAATTCCGGTTCAAAACAGTTTTACCAAACCAAATGTCCACCCCTATATATACATTTGAGTTCTGATATGTGGACGGTAATTAGGTGCAGGAGTTCCTGGTACCAAGGCCACACGGCACGATGTAATTGTTGGATCCTATTTACTTCGTTAGTTTTAATTGTATTAGTTATGGAAAGCTAAATTCCTAAACTCGGAGAATGAAATTTGTACAATCAAGGAGACAATTAAATGGCTAAAGTTAGGGTGCATATATAACCCATGGTTATGCACCCATCAATAACCAAATTTGGACCCTTCATTTAGAAAATCCAGATCTAAGAATGGAGAATTAAAGAACATTTTTATTTTCACTAGCTTTCTTAATTGACTCATATCTTTTTCGTTTTAACTCGGATTTTAATTTTTTTTGCACATATGGAACGAGTTCATCGTGCTCTACAAAATGAGATCAATTTTCAATATTTTTTGAGGAAAAAAAATTCTGGCCTCTCGGTACCAACTGCATACCATATGGTATCTTCTTAGTTTTTAATTCGTTTTCGAAAACGTTCGCACAGCAAGGACGAGTTCATCATAATCTAGTGGATCTACAAATTTCTGGGTGAACAAATTACAAGACCAAAAAATACCACACAATACCATACAATACCACCCTGGTATCTTATGGTATCTTATGGTATACAATGTTAAAAGTCGTAAATGACAATTAATATACTTCTACTATCATGTATTCAACCATCCTACAGTTTTGGTTTGTGTCATACCACCATGGTACGCTTTTCAAACCATAGGTATGCTCTTATTTCAATACCAGTCAATACCATATGGTATAGACTGGTAAAAAATTACTCAATTTTTTTTGTTCGAAAAATATCAAAGTGGATATCATTTTGAAGAGCACAATTAATCTGATCTAACTGTGAAAAAAAATTAATTTTCGACTTAAAACGAGTGAGAAATCGTCCGTCAAAGATTAAAGAGGGGGAAATTAAAGGCTTTCCAGGAGAGAGAGGATGCTGATGTGGGCGGGTTACTCATAGTTACTCACCATAAGGTTACTGACCTGATCCGTTCCCCAATTAAATACTATCTCCATCATGAATTTCTTTTTTGACGGACTGAAAGCAAAACTATTTAAGATTTAGCGAGATATATATATATATATATATATATAGCGGATTCATCAAGTACTGGGCATTCCAAATAATTTTTTCGTTATACTCTGATATAATTTGAGAAAATTAAAATCGTCAATTATTTTTTAACTAAATTTATATGAGGATTTTGGCTTGGAGAATTAGACTTTGATATTTACCATTACATGTTACCAAAATTGAGTCAATTCTATCGTTTAGTTAGAGACACGTCCATGAGTATAAGAGTATCACATATTAGAAGGAGTACGTAATTTGATCCACATATATAAGCTTGAGGGGTTTGGTGTGCATCCATTACATAGCAAGCATTTTAACTAAACTTATTCATAAGATTCAATGTTCAAAATTATTAGAGTTTAGGGTTACTCGTTAGAGTTTAGGATATTGCAGTATACCTCAAACTCCAATAATTTATACTCTCAATAATATCATGCCCAAAATATATTTAAATAATGCTTTATATAAGTATCTTACTAGACGTATTTGAGGTTTTATATATACATATTGAAGATAACTTTAAAAGGTACAATAGTATAGTATTTCGAGAAGATACTATTGTACCCTTTAAAGATATTTTGTACTCTAAGTGACTTGGTACAATCTAATTTATTGGATTGGTTTGAGAATCCTCCACCATAAGTTTTTTTTATTAAATTGGTACAGATAAACGAAGAGACATTAAAGTATCCATTATGAAATAAGAACGATACATTTCATTCTCTAGTTGTAAATTTCATTTTCTATAAATATTAGGATGATTCAACTAGAACACATCAACTATAAAAAAAGTCGTTTATATCTTCAAGTACGGGCTACTCCAAGTAACTTTTTCATTATATATACTATAATATAATTGGAGAAAATTAAAATAATCAATTATTTACTTAACTAAATTTATATGAGGATTTTGGCTTGGAGAATTAGATTTTAATATTCACCGGTTAGGGTTTA